GATGTCAGCTCCGCCTATGGTGGTAGCCCCACTCCCGCCTGCGTCCATATTCTCTTTGTCCTCTCAGCGTGAAAAAAACGCAATCCTCTCGCCGGAATCTCTCAAAATGCTCAAAATTTACTATGAAGCTTCTCAAATTACTATAAAGCTTCTCGCATAGGCCGTTTTCCTTTCGCTTCTTTTCCCATTGTCGGGTTACGTGACCCAGAGGAGCGGGAACAATTCAGGGTCCAATTTTTTTGTTTATACTCCATGAATAGAACAGGCTATCGGTATTGGCGAATCCGAGAAGGACAGGGACAGGTCTTTTTCGAGCCACTGTTTTTCATTTTCATACCATTGAGTCTTCTGATTGAGTGGTCGACCTTGTGTTGACCATTTCCGATTTCACGACCGAGCCGTTTATTGTGAGAACATAGGGACAACCAGCTTTCTAGACTCACTTGGAATGAAGTGCAGAATCGTACTTACCCATTTGAAGAGTTGCTCCATTGTCTACCAGATTCTCGGCGATGATTTTTCCGATCTTCTCCTCCTCCTCACTGTTTTCTCCCAATTTCCGTGTGTGAAGAGGGAAATTGTTATCCTCGATGACATAGTCGAAGTGCGACGAATGAATAACACCATCACCGAAGGTTCTTGGCATGTTCTTGTTTGTCATGGCTGAAAAGGAATACATTCAGAAGACTAGCAAACCTGTGGGCACTATAATACTATTGTGACTGAGAGTTTTCGTCAAATGAGCCGTGCAATCGTTTTCAACCAGATCCAGGATCAGGATAATGGGGATGTACAAAAAGCATAGTAGAAATTGTGAAACTGTTCTAATTTTATGCAGTGTTTTTTTCATACCCAGAAATGTTTTGTATCATATGTAACACCACAGTTATACTCCAGGACTTGAAACAGGCATGGGAACACCATCAGCTGCGATCAAGGACCACATCAAACATCGTACAATCACATTTTGGTTCAGCAAAAGCTACTTAAATAATCAATGAATGAGGAATGGAACTTTGCACGGCCTATATGCCAATGGCTGAGAAAATATTCACTCAAAAGTCCTGATATTCCCGACTGAAGGTGAAATGCACGGCGCATCCGAAGAGTGATCAGCACCAGGAAACTACTTAGGATTCTCCACTAACCAATAATATGGTCGGCATTCGTCACAGCTGCTCTTGCAGTATCCACAGACGTGCCTAATGAACAGTAACCGTTTGCGTCTGGAGCAGAGACCTGAGAATCCAAAAAACATTCAAAGTGAATTTGATACTTAGTGAACTGAACAGTTCCGAGGAGAGAATTACTTTCTGAAGGAATTTCACTCAAAAGTATATACTTACGTGGATTATAGCGGCGTTGAGCTTGATGGCGCCTTTACGGAAAAGCATCGGAACCTCGTGCAAAAAGCATGAGTTGAAATCGGCCACACCTTGAAAAAAGGATTACACTCAAGGAATAAATCTGCGGGACAAGCGAGTATCACACGCGTGCTATAAAGTTTACCCTCGAAAAACTCAAGCAGAGGAAGAAAATCAAGAAAAAATGCTCATGAAGCTATGCAGGAATGCGAACACCACTATACTCCACCCCTCTCCCTTTACCCAACTAAAGAAGAGCAATATTTATCCATTACGTCACCGTGATATTCTATCCATACACTTCTCAAAATATCCTACTGGACCCAAAAAACCCTACTTCTCGACCTTTCGAGGCTTTCCAAGCAGCTGCCGGTTGCGGCGGTACGACAAAATCTTTTCTCTTCGAAAATCTTCAAACGCCAAGCACCCTTTACAGTTCCTATTTTAGAACCGAGCAAGTCTGACATAAAACTAAATACTTGCTGCTTCACATAGAACAGAAACGGTTCATAAGCAACCAAGGCAGAAAAATAACAAAGCCTACCTTCGTTCACAGCTTTTCGTAGATTACCACCAGTGAAAAGCGAGTTGGAGCGGATCCGGTCTAAAACGGCGCAAATATGAACACTTTTCACGAGGGCTACTCAGCGAAACCTACCCTTCACATCTGGAGCAGTCCATGGTGTCTCTCCTTCAAGATGCAAATGATGCAATTTGATTCCCTTCAAGTTGTTCGCCTTCGCGTGCTCACAGAGACCCTTCAGAAGAGGAGTTGGCGTGGCTGCGATTCCATGCACAAAAATGTTGTCACCTGAAAATTGCATCGGAAACAATGAGCATTTGATTCCTCGCATTTTAAAATACAATTTCGTTTCGGCCTTAGCAGTAAGAAACGATTAGAGCTCTACAACTCGATGACACATTTTATCCCTCCGGTTCGTCGTATAGAATTCACATGAACCGGGTCAACGTAATCATCTTTTCGTGAAGGCCGTGATCACGATGGCTGAGGCAATGCGGTTTCGATGACGTCATTGAATACGTTCGGCGGACTACACCCCCTTGGGAGTGTGGGTGGGACCGCCCCTCAATGCCCTTCCACCAATGCTGTTCAAGGATGTCATCAGAAACGAACCGCCCCTCAGCCATCGCGATCACTGCCTTTGCCTCCTTAATACTCATTTGAGGCAATCAAGCGCTTATCATCCTGTACTCGATGATCTTTGACTACCGATATGGCTGACCTGCGAATAATCAAGAGCGAATAATAGAACTTTCAGCCTGGCGTTCGAACTGAACCTTAACAATATCCGTCCACACATAAAGTAGGACTGCCGGACATCGACGAGCTGCTCTCACCCTCTACGTTTACTGATATTGAGTAATGACCACAGCCGTTCTCTGACTCTTCGCAACTTATCCAGCCACCAACTGGACAACATGAATTTGAACAAGTTCATCGATAGCTGAGATCTAATACTCGAAAACTGAATTTGTCGACGGGATTCAAATTCACGACAAATGGTGTCAGAGCTCGAGCATTTTAAATCGCATTTCATGCTGCATGATGTGGATGTTGAGGCTCAAAATATGGCGAAAGGTCCGCCATCAAAGTAAAGCAAAGAAATCGCATACAAAGACTGGGCGCTAGAAACCCAATCTTGTAGGGTTTGTTTTGAAGCACAACATTGCCACGAACTGCGTGGCGAAGTCAATCACTGCTTCAGGAAAGGAAGGATCAGTCTACGGGAAGCGAGCATGAGGACGAGCGAGTGCATGAATATTGCCCAACGACGTTATAATTTAATGTGTTACAATGCACACCTTCTATACTACTCTATTGACGGAACAAATTTTTTAATACTTCTCTTCATAATTCTTTTTTCTCATTCCCATCTTGAAATTGGCACTGGTCACGTATTTACGTGCTAGGCTCGAAGGTTCTTATTGGTATTTCTCCTTTACTCTCATGCTTCCCATTCCATTCTTTTCCTTTTAATTTCGCCCAATCAAAATGAGTTTCTAGAGCTAGCATGCTTTTTGTCATCTTGTGTACCACAAGTCCTGTAAACCCCCTCAGCATTCAAATGATACTACAAGCTAAAGTCACTCAAATGCGTGGCGTATTTCAAAAGATAGTGGCCTGATCTCACGATAAGCGCTTGAAGAAGGGCTCGTCATGGCGAAAAAGACGCTTTCTATGGAGCCACTTCCTTCGATGAGTGTGCTCAAGTGATATGTTTCTTCTGCGTTTCTTCCGTGACATAATTCGACAGAAGTGAAAGCCATCATAACAAAAGGTCAAATAAACGCCTGACACAAATGTCTGCTGTTCACCACAGCAGTCACAATCAATACGGTTCGAGTTAGTCGATTTTCCTTGTCGAACATGCGAAAAACGGACGTCATGGGGACTCGGGTCATGATCCGTTCATTTTCGTGAAAGAACCTGCACTTCCGATACGTACTATCTGCAAAAAGCGCCTTGCGCAGCCTATTGCTCGAAAAAGCTCGCCCTTAGCTGAGAGTGTCTTTAAGCATGAGAAGACACTATAGCAAAATTTTAGAAGGAAAGGTCTCATTGGTCTACGTACTGGCCTTGTACTGAAGGTGGCATATCCATTGGCGGGCTTTGGAGACGTTTAGCTCGAATCTCTGCTTCTAGAAACCCTGCGCTACGATTTCCTTATATATAGCATACATTATACGAAGTTATACGAAGAGAGAGAGAGAGTACACAGCGGTAGGGATCTAGAATTACAGACGACAACCGCGGTATTGATCCCTTAGTGAGTTTGTCTTTTGCACTTCTCCCAAATCTTGCTACAACACTTTTGACATCGCCCTTCACCAACAGTTGTACATGATGTCTGAGTTAAAGAGTTCAAAAGCAGTCCTCACACGCTTGAGAACGAGTTACCCATAACTACCCACGCGCAAGCAGCTTACGCAGCAGGTTTTTCTGCGGTAAAAATGGTGTTGGTGGTCACAGCTCAAGCTACCCTTGTCTTTATAGTCAGTTTCCGGCTGTACCGAGGCTGACTAAACTCCGAAAAAAGGCGCAGTCATGGGTAAATTAATAGTGCCTAACACTCATTAGGAAGTAGATAGACTCTTCAAGCAGGTTTTTATAAGGCTACGTTGTTCAAAGAACGATATTAGAAGTCTTTTCAGATAGTCCTGCGAAAACAAAAGAGCAAACTGGTAACGGAGCCTATTCACGACCCCTTTCCAACGTGTCCGGACCTTACGCCATGCTCTTCCGCTTCACAATTTGTATCTCCAAATAATTCCGCAGTTTTATAAAGCAGTTTTGAGCTCACGGCGCGTAATCGTTACCAACCTCACCGCAAGTGGCTGGATCCACCTTTTGCCCTTCCCTTTCAGAAGCCGCACATTAAAATTCTACAAATCAAGTCATGCGATTCAGGGATTAGTACTCATTACAAAACTGCTGCCCAAAAGAACAGTCGCGCCCTGCGACTGTTTCAGAAGGCAACTTGTGGAATTCCTACCTTTAAAGCGAGGGATTACGATAGGTTTGGACTGGGTTCATAGTGGAAGTGGAGATGCTGAATAATGCCCCAGTGGCGAAAAAAGCAAAGAAATCCGTCAAGAAGGCGCAAAATGGGACCCCTTTCTTTGCCCGTTGACCTCCGATAATGGACGAGCTAGCAACCAACTAAGAGGTCGTTGCACATGTTAAACCGATAGCACCATCATACCACCAGAGATCATGCTTTGATAACGCATTCCATGAGAAAGTTATAGGATACGCGCTCGAAGTGGAATACCTTATCAAATGATAATCGAACAGCGATCTGCTGAGGCGGAGCACAGGAAGGATTGGCAGCCCCAGCGCTGCAACTAGCGCACCTTTAGTCGAAAAGGCCACATCTCGATTCCTTGGGCCCCTGGCTACTGCTTGAAGTGGTGCATGTTCTTCCATGCTGCACACGGACTTTATCGTAATCTCTCGCCTTAACCCTCTTCAGTCATTTCAATTTGACCACTGGTTGAACGCGCAGAAAAGTCGCCACGACAAGGAAAAAAATTGCGAAGAAAACGGGTCGAGCTTTCTGCAAGCAACTTCCGCGGATTTCTTCCAGTGCGGTTTAGAAAAAGAAAGTTATCATCAGAGCATTCATCATGAGTCGAGCTTCTCAACCCAGGGTTCACGTGAAATACGATCAGAGAACACACAACTAATGTGCGGTGTAATATGGCGAGCAGAAATGCAACGGAAAGAATCATCATTCAAAAACTCCTGATATCAATGATTGACATATCACCGAACCCCTCCCAACCCTACGACAATAATTCAGTGGAGAGAACAAGCGCAGCGCTCTAAAACCTCGACCACCTCCTCTATCGTGATCATCTCGACGCAAAGTGTTGAGGATAAACTGTCAGCTGTAGGCACTTCTTGTGTAAAGCCTCGTGTGCGAAAAGGATACAAAGAAAGATACTGCTGAGAAAGAAATTAGGCCAAAAACTGAAAGCAGCAATATGAAGAATTGCTCTACTTATTGGTCGCACAATGTCTATTCCAACAGAATTTATTACATCGTTCAAAACTTTTTGGGGTTCTTGATGGCTGAATAATTTGTTTCAAAAGCCTCATTTTCGAGCCAGATTCTAGTAAACTGTTGCCAATTCACATATTATTTGAAGTCTGCTTTTCTGCTTTTCTAAACGACTTGATTGATATTGGAAAAATATTGGATATTGATATTGGAAAAAGGGTACAGCTACAGTAGCGGTCAAAGTGTTTGCCGGTTTACTGTGCTTCTCTTTTTCTTCCACATAAAAATCAATGGTGCCTCGAAAATTTTCCTTCTGAAGCATCCTGATTCTTTAATGCTTGAGGATATAAAAACACTAGAAAACATAGTATATCAATCTTTGGAAGAGCGTTGCTCAAGCGAAAAAAAATAATGCACTGAAAATCGTTTCGGCGAACACTTTTGACCGCTACTTGTCCTTTCAGCGCAAACACTCCTGAAGGCTCAACTCACAGTAATATACGTTCTCACGTTTGCACAGCACGTGAAGTGACGGATTCCCAATAAAAAATAAATGAGTTTGTTAGAGGCCGCGTTCATACTTCGCGACTCGGGAAATTAGTATAGTAGGCGACAGGATATTAGGATAGTAGTAGAGTAGGAAATTGCGCTGACAAGATTGGATACGTATCGATTGAAATCGCTGGAGAGTAGTAGATTGGGCGACTTCAAGCGAATAGATCAATACATATCTAATCTTGTCAGCGCATTATCCTAATCTACTACTATCCTTATCTCCTACTCCACTACTATCCTACTATCGCAATCTACTACTTTCCGCCGATTACAATGGATACGTATCTAATTTTGTCAGCGCAATCTCCTACTCTCCTAATATCCTTCTACTACTATCCTAATCTCGGCCGGTTCAATACATATGTTGTCAGTGTGTCGCGTCTGATCCCAGATATCCGGGATCGCAACTATGTGAACGCGGTCCGCGCTTAGTGATGGCAGTCGTCCATGCGAAGAGGCGAGCAGCATACAGAGAAAGGATATGTATCGATCAGAGAAATTAGGCGTGAAAGCGATTAGGCGATCGCTCGGTGGATAGATCAAACAAATCGATACCCATTCGTTTAATATCGCCTACTCGCTTACATGTCTGATCGCTCAACGAGGCGTACACTTTCTCCATAAACCCCGTCACCTACTGCACCTGACCGGCGGCGCCTAATCGCATGTACGATCGCTAACTCTGAACGCTGCTCAATTAGTTTTTGTGAACGGACCATGACCGAACAGCACCGGAATGCGAT